GCAATGTGTTGTGTTATGTTTGATAGCAATGTGTTGTGTCATGTTTGATGCAGTGTGTTGTGTTTGATAGCAATGTGTTGTGTTATGTTTGATAGCAATGTGTTGTGTTATGTTTGATAGCAATGTGTTATGTTTGTGGGTTTAGTTTGATAACAATGTGTCATGTTTGACAGCAGTGTGTTGTGTTATGTTTGACAGCAGTGTGTTGTGTTATGTTTGATAGCAATGTGTTGTGTTTGATAGCAATGTGTTATGTTTGATAGCAATGTGCTGTTGGATTGTTTTATCAAATTTGACAATATGTGAGATTGTATGTTAATTGTTTGATCATGTTTGACGATGATGTGTCACGATTATTTGAATTTGTTTGACTGCCATACTCTGAACAGTGCCTTATGTTCACAGAATCGAATAAAGATAACCAAGATCTAATAATTAATGAAAGACAAAGACTGTTGTCATAAGTGTGTCTTTGTCTGAAGCTTGTATTTATCAACTATTTGTGTGTGTGTGTGTGTGTGTGTGTGTGTGTGTGTGTGTGTGTGTGTGTGTGTGTGTGTGTGTGTGTGTGAGTGAGTAAGTGTCTGTGTGTGTCTTAGTTTTAGTAAGAGTTTTACAGCACTTGCGACACAATAAGTTCATATAGGTGCCGAAGAATAGATGTGTTACAAGAGAGTAACGTACACAAAAAAGGAGGAGAGATAAGGATGATACATGTTTGAGACAAAAGAAGGAACAAACCACACCAGAGCACCCGCCAACTCAACCACCCACTGTGTGTGTCTTTATGAACGACTAAGTAAAATGACTGTATCTTTGCGTCTTCCAAGGCATGCCAGGAATTAGTTTCAGTAAAGCTACAGTTGCCAGCAGGACAGCTACCTTTGGTTTAGATGAGTTTCCGGCTGGCCTTTTGTCTCTGTTTATTTGTTATAAGTTATGAGGATTTTTTAGTTTTAGTAGAGGTTCTACGGCGCTCGCAACTGCATAAGGTCATATGAGCGCCAGAAGATTAGAGGTGTTACAAGAGAGTAACAAACATAAAAAAGAAGAAGGGAAAATAAGGATGATAGATGATAGGAAAGAAGGAGCAAACCACACCAGAGCACCCGTCAACCACCCGCAAGTTATGAGGATGATAGATGTGTATAATAGAAAAGAAGGGCAGACACACCAGAGCCCCCGCCAACCACCCACGTGGATGTTTTTGTTTAGTATTTTGGTTTTTGCAAGAGTTTTACGGCACTGGCAACACAATAAGGTCCTATAGGTGCTGAAGAATAGATGTGTTACGAGAGAGTAACATACACAAAAAAGGAGGAGAGAACAGGATGATAGAGCATGTCTGATAAGAACGAAGGAGCAAACCACACCAGAGCATCCGCCAACCATAATGAAAAAAACTAAAAATTAGACATCTGAAACAAAACAAAATCAAAAACAAGACTTGATGAAAATTTATACAATATTTTATTGCAAAAAGAGAGAAAGAGAAATCATTTAGTTCAGACAGACAATTTTTCTGTTTCTCATGGAACATGCTCATAGGTCTTGTTATATGCCCCGAACTTGGTGGAAAGACACACACATATTAACATACATGTGTGTCACGACACTGTGGAATCTGGCGCTCATCAATTTTGGGGCATGTTGAGTTATTGGTATCATATGACAGTTTATTAATTTGCCTTGATTTCACTGAAAAAAAAATACCCATGTATCTTCCGAAGACGAGACATTTGCGATTGAAGGAGATGGGGTCGTTTGGTTTCATTGGTAAAATTAGCGAGAAAATGGCCACCAAAGTCTGATGACTTCAATAGCTTGAGAATCCATAAAAATGATAACATTACATATTTTGTGGCTTTAATCAACGTTTTTCAGTAGAATTCAAACGGAAGTATGTTTTTATAAAAATAATTATATGCACACGCAGGTCGTCGAGCAAAAACTATTAATTTCGATAAATATTGCCAAACTGGGGGAAAACGCCCGTTTCTTCGATTTTGTTATTTAGACCAGTATCTGAATTCACCACGCTGCCTCACATATACATCTGAACACATCTACCAGATGTCTTAAACTTTGGAATGGACACTGATGGCTTTTGTATAGCCAGGGAATGATTGATAGTCATTAAGAATGTACGAATAAACAACACAACTGTAGAAAAGTCACACAACTGAATGTACGAATAAAGAACTCAACTACACACAAATCACACAACTGTTAATCTTTTTTTCAAATTGCGGCTGTTCTTTCCGCTCCCATTAACACAATTTAGATCATTTAGGAGGCGGCTTCCACCCTGCCTGTTGTCAGAGTCGACCCAGGCTGAGAAGGATAGAACACCCCAGGAGAAAGATCGAGACACACAGATAGGCCTACAAATTCTCCCAACACGCGAATCAAACTCGGGTCCCCTGCGTGGGATATCAAAGCACCTAACCGCTACACCACAGATGCTGCATCCAATCGCTATTACTCATGAATTCTAGCATGTATATGGGTCACAACACGGTAGAATCAGTCACTTGTTATTTAAGCCAATCAGAACAAACTCTAAAACTGTGTCACCACACGGTGGTATCAGCCACTCATTAGTGTTTGGGTTTTTTTTCCATAAGAGTATTACAGCACTTGCAACACAATAAGGTCAAATAAGAGTTCACTTGTGGCAGGAAAAGATGACACAACAACTGATCAATCCCACAATTGTAAACCCACGTATAAACGACACCGGTAGCATGTTTTATACCAAAGTGAATGTACGTATAAACCACACAACTGTAGACAAGTCAAACAACTGTGAATGTATATATGTATAAAGTATTGTGAATGTACGTACATGTATAAACCACACAACCATAGACCAGTCATATAACTGTGAATGTATGTATGAAATATTGTGAACGTACGTATAAAATACACAACCATAGACCAGTCATATAACTGTGAATGTATGTATAAAATATTGTGAAACTACGTACACGTATAAACCACACAATCATAAACCAGTCATATAACTGTGAATGTATTATAAAATATTGTGAATGTACGAATAAACCACACAACGGTAGACCAGTCCAACGACTGTAAATGTAAGTGTTAACAACTGTCAATGTAGGAATAAACCACACAACCGTAGACCAGTCACACGACTGAATGTAAGTGTTAACAGCTGTGAATGTACGAATAAACCATGTCACCAGCAACAAGACAAAGCGCTTACTGAAAAGTAGATTACCAATGCTGCATAAATATTCTGTTGTATATTATAGCCAAAGCTCTGTGATGATGATATGTAGAAAACAGCTGGAATGAGAGCTGATGGTTGAGGATATTTTATATTAATATAATATATATATATATAATATATTCATCATAAATAAAACTATATAATTTTGGAATGTTTTTCCCTGGACATAAATATCCTGCTAGCCTTCACATTGATGATTCTGTCGTCTGCGGATGTGGTCGAATTGGTCGCTTTTAACAGTTTGCCGCCTCATCTCGCCGATTGGCCATGTTTACCACCCAGTTTCTCTGGATTTTCCACAAAATATGATGGCAAAGTGTTAAGGACAAGCCGGCTAACCCAGACTTCGGGGGTTTCCAGAAATCTTGACCTACACCAAAATTGGGCATTGCCCTATCTTTAGAGAAGTTTGGTTTCATTGGTGTGTATATTTGTTTGGTTACAGAGAAAACTCTCCTTGTTTTTTAAAGAAACTGAACAAGGGTCCAAAAACTTTACCTCCGATTTTCTCAAAACAGTGTTCTTCGCGATAGCCCCCTTGTGCTTAAAAGCGACCAATTGTGTCGCATTCACTGCGGCCCGATCCACACAACGAGACAGCGAGCCGAAGAGACAAGACAGTTTTCTTTGAAGGACGCAGGGGAAGAAACTCTAGAGGAAGACAGGAGGAGGGGACGAGATGGAGGAGGCAGCATCATCATCTGTCGCTGATAAAAGTCGTAGCCCCTAAAAGATGAATGTGCTCACTACACCCTGCAGAACAATTTGCAAATTTTTTATGTTGCCACATTCACTCTCCTCCTTCTAATCTTGTACACACGCGCACACAAAATGTCTCACACACACACACACACACACATTCGGCACTGCAGGCACACCTACATATTGGAGTAAAAGCGTACACATTCTCTCTCTTTTACACGCGCGCGCGCACACACACACACACAGATACACAAACACACACACACAGAGGCCAGGCTTCAATAGTCGGGTGAGGGAGTCATGATGGCGTCCACAAATCCGTTGATGTTGATCTGCCCGCTTGGCTGCACGCCGGCCTCACGGAACAAGGCATCCACTGGGGACACACACAAAGCCAAACAGTGACGGACAGGGGAAACTTGAGTTAGGTTTTACGGCACTTGCAACACAAGAAGGTCATATAAATGCCCAAGATTAGAGGGGTTACACAAGAAAGGAGGAGGGAAGATATGGAAGATAGATGTTTGATAGGAAAGAAGGAGCAAACCACGCCAGAGCACCCACCAACCACACACAAGGCCAGACAGTGAGGGACGGGGG